TTTTTTTTTTTTTTTTTAAAGCCAGGCATGGTGGCACATGCCTATAATCCCAGCACTGGGGAGGCTGAAGATCACCATGAGTTCGAGGCCAACCTGGACTACATAGTGAGTTCAGGGCTAGCCTGAATTACATATTGAAACCCTGTCTCCAAAAAAAAAAAAAAAAAGGCCGCCTACCTCACAAGTTCAAGGTCCCAAGTTCAAATCTTGGTACCAAAAAAAATCAAAAGCAAATGTGGTCATACATGGCCATTTGAGAAGAGCCATCTGAGAGCTCTGACCCTGTGTCTAGAATGTACATCAGCTTGTCAGTGTCTTCAGACATTTGTGGTGGTCATGACCTAGGACAGGGTGCTGTTAGAATCCAGGCTACTGAATGATGTACAGGACAGCTCCAAGCATGAAGAATTACCCTGCCCCAATGTTGAGTGCAGGGTGGAGAAATGTAATGGCACCACTATGGGAGCCAGTAAGAAATGCGTTGTCCCATCTAGTATTAATCCCTGCATGCCGAAAGGTGACCAGGGTCTCAGCCAAAGAGAGTCAAAGCCAAAGAGAATGAGTAATCTTTTTCAGTTATTTTGCAATGTTAGCATTTTACAAATGGTATAAAGTTAGACAAATATGAGGCATATACTCAGGGAAAAAGCAATCTTTGACATCCTCATTTGGCTGTTTGACTTACTGAAATTTTAGAAGGTGGAAATGATGTTTCCCGTGCACTATTGCTGTAGACCAACTCCTCTAATCTTGAGGCATGTTCAGCCCGGCAGAGTCACCTTCCCCTGATATGTGTGACTTGTGTCTCTGTGAGACAGGTGTATCTGTCCCTGCTTCGGATGTACCTGTCGCCCCCCAGTATTCACTGTCTTGGGCCAATGAAGTTAGAGTTGTTGGAACCACAGGCCAACCTTCAGGCTGCCCTACAGGTCCTTGAGCTTCACCACAGCAAGCTGGACACCACCAAGGTCAGACAGAAGTCCTCAGGGGGCTGTGGGCACTGCGTGAGAAGAGGGATTGGGACAGGGACCAGGGCCTGAGAGCTCTTGGCCTGTGATGTCTTCCAAGTCTCATTCCTGTTCTGCCCATTCCCACTTTTGTTCCTATCCCCAGGCCATCAACCTTCTGCCAGCAAACACTCAGATTAACGATATCCGCATCTTTCTGGAAAAGGTGTTAGAAGAAAATGCACAAAAGAAACGGTTCAATCAAGTGCTCAAGAACCTCCTCCATGCTGAGTTTCTGAGGGTATGGGCCTTCCAGACTCGAGGGCAGCTTTGTTTCCTAGCGTGACAGTTTCTACATGGTCCATTCCCAGCAAGGCAGAGCTGTATGTACCTGGGCAGTATAGCGCAGGCTGGTCCAGCAGCCAGCTGGAGGTGTTCATCCAGGAGAACCTGGACCCTGAAAGATAAAGTGATGCTGACCTCTGCCTCCCATTGCACACATAGGCATGGAGCTTCTCCCCAAACTCTTCCAGGTGCAGGAAGAGCGGATTCTGCACCAGCAGGTGAAGTGCATCATCACAGAGGAGAAGGTGTGCATGGTGTGCAAGAAGAAGATTGGGAACAGGTGAGGCGCCCCGCCCAGGGCCACAGCTTCTGGGCACGAACCAGCAGGAAGGCACAGCTGCTGGCTGTCCTGCTACCTCTGCTTCTCGCGCCTCGAAAGGGCTGTCTGTCTGCAGTGGGCTTGGCATGTATGCTGCAGGGCTTTTGAATTTGTGCACCAAGAGATCTTTCCTTTTGGCAGCTAGAACTAATGATGTAGCTGGTGTGTGTGAGAGACATGTGGCAGAAAGTCCTTATTTGTAAGTGTGAGTCTCTGAAGGATTATAAGAGATCTTTCGGTCTGCTTGTCCCGTAACTGGAGCAAGCTCCTGAGCCGGTACCGTACTGTGTTAAGACCTGTTCCATAGTCAGCCTTCTCTCCTTAAAAGAGTGATTTGTCCTTTTTGGAAGGGCAAGAATACTCTCCTTTTGAAAGACCCAGCTTGCTGTCCTTTGTTCAAATTAGTCTGAAGCTGTTGCCTCGAGCCGTATTAGCATCTAGTGAGCCAGGACTGAGGCAGGGAGCACCCTTTGCTTTGTGCTTTTGTGTATGTGGTATTGGAGATGGAACCCAAGCCCCATGCATGCTAGGCAGGTGCTCTACTACTGAGCTTCCTCCAGTCTGCACTGAATGTTTAATAAGAAATACCCTACCCCCCAACACTCAGAGTAAGTCCTACCTGGCCTATGTAGTGAGACTCTGTCTCAAATTTTTAAAAATAATTTTTAAAATTAAAAACATTTTTAAAAAATAAGCCTGGGAGTATAGCTTAGTAGTAGGGAACCCCTGGGTTCAATCCTCCAGTACTAGGTGAGGGGGAAGAAATATTCCCCCACTCTTGAACTTTGCGCAGCCCGTCCTCTGTTCAGCTCCTCACAGAGATGGTGGCTGGGAGCCTACAGCCCTTGGGTCAGTTGTCCCTCAGGGTCAGGGTGGCCTGCTTCTGGGCAGTTCCCAGATGCGAAGCCTCCTCGGGCTCTGAGGGAGGAGTCTGCTGCACCCACCCTTACTCCTGAGCCTTTTCCCTCCCCACAGTGCATTTGCAAGATATCCCAATGGAGTGGTCGTGCACTACTTCTGTTCTAAAGAGGTAAATGCAGCCGACACCTGAACCCAGCATCTGAGCATGCAGCAGTGGACAGCATGGCTACACCAGAAAGGGGACGGAGCAGCCAGCCTGAGAGTCAGGGCCTGACACCACGTCACCCCGTTTGACACTACTGGCTTCCATGTACCCTGGAGCATCTCTGACTTAATTAGACTCGTGGTCTGGCCTTGCCAGCTTTTTAATAGAAAAAGATTAGTAGTACCTTCCACCATTGTGTTGCGGGCAGTCCCAGAGAATTCATACCTGCTTGGACCAGAGACCACCGTCTTGCCTTCGCGTACCACTCACCTGGGAAAGGAGACTCCTCCCAAATGTCCGCACGCAGAGTTGTTCGCTAGAGTTCACCGAGAGCTGCTTCAGCAAGACTGCCTGGAGAGCCCTGCAGGAGGACAGAAGCAGAGCCCCTCAAGCCATGGAGACTGTCCTATCAGTGCTTTCTCCACGGAAACTGTACCCTTCCTACCCTGAGCACTCGATGCTTGTCTCTTCAGTTGTCAAAAAAGTTCTCTTTTTACTTTTCACTGTTCATTTTTCCCCACTTTATCCTTCCTCACGGCACCACCCAGGTTCTCTTCCGCTCCAAGGATACCAGGATTAGCTAATATTTAAATGAGTTAAAGTGAGAGGCATGAGGGAGTCTGGGTCCCTGAGAACACACCAAAGTGGTCAGGTATGTTGTGATTAGGTCCCTTTGGCTGTGCACTGTCTGCCCAGAAGCTTAGAAGAGCACCCACCGTGTGCCCAGGAAGGGACCTTGGTGCCTCCCCATGGGGGACTGGCTGGCATGGCACATGGTGTGTGGCCTGAGATACATCTTGCAGAGGTACCTGCTCCTGCCTCACTCCTTAGCTGCTTGAGCAGGCTGGTTAGCTTTGAGGAGTGGAGTTCTGTAGGTTTTGGATGCCTTGCTCTGTTTCAGAAGCTCTGGCCCTCACTCCTGGCTTTGTTCTCTAAGGATTGGAGAATGGCACTGATAAGGTGCAGGAAGGTGGATCCTGGGCACGCTGGGAATGGTCAGGTCAGGAACTTTTAGCAATGTGATGCTGAGCATGTTTGTGAGGTATCCAGGGATGGCAGAGAGCAGGGGGGATGGCAGAGAGCAGGGCAGATGGCAGGCGGGGCCTACACTGGTCTACATGGGAACTCACCACCAGCTCCGTGGGGCTTGTGGGGGCCCTGCCTGTCAGGTGGAGCATGGGTGGGGCCTAGCACAACATGCTGCACAGGATGTACAGCCTGCACTGTCCTCCCCGAGCTTTGTGTGGACCTGCAGTCTTCCTGCCTCAATGCCTTTAAGAGCAGTGAGGGTCGTGACGGTGCCAAACACTGATGCTGCCCAATAGCCTGGCCTTGACTGTACCGAAGCCTTGGTAAGCCTCACTGCCATGCTGTGCTGTGGACTCACCCAGTGGGTGAGAGTGGATGAGGCTGCCCTGGGCAAGCTCTTAGAGAGGTCAGAAGAGACCCAAGGGAGCACGTTCATAGCTGTGGGGGCCTGCTCAGGTCTGCAAGCCCTGTGGAACAGCACCACAGCTACCTGTGAGAAGCAGCAGACCAAGTTTCCTCCATGGAGTCCCTGGGGACCCCACTTTGGGGCTGGAACTTCCCTGTCATGCAAGCCCTGCCTTCCTGGCTGCTGTGCTGTAGCTTCTGTTTTCATGACCTGTGTGTGACACAATAGAGTGTGTTCTCTTTCCAGCCCACTTCTCCAGGCTCCACTCTTCCTTTCCTGGAGACCTGGAGAAGCTGGAGACAGCCATGTCATAGCAGCACTAATGGAGCTCTCATAACTCTCAAATAAACATTACCAAGAAGCTGTGTCTGTTTGGGTCTCTTTCCCCCTTCCATAGACTTTGAGGAAAATGACATTAAAGGATATCCTTTCATTAAAGGATAGTAATTTAGCTAAGAACAGAGAATGAGAAAATGACGAAGGAGAGAATCACAGTAATCCTCTGCCTTGTCAGTCTCTGCTGACCACTCTGGCAGGTGAGGCTGTGGCCTGATGAGTTGGCAGCACGAGTAGGGAACACCTCCACTGTCAAGAAGTTCTGCGTAATCCAGGTTATCTCCCTGTCACTTCACACAGTGGGACCTAGTGCCCCCTCCTGTGGCTATGATGGCTAGCAGGGCATGTGTGACTAAGGTTACCTTCTCACACAATACCTAGCACCCACCAGCTAAAGGAAGAGAGGTTTATTTTGGTTGATATCTCAGTCCATAGTCCACTGGCTCCAAGGCAGCGGCATGGCAGAGGAAAAACAGCCATGGCAGGGTAGCAGGAAGCAGAGATCAGAGGAGGGAGGGAGACCCAGGCCATGCCCCCAGTGACCACCTCCTCTGACCAGGCTTCCAAATGGCAAATAGCTATAAACTCAACAGTGGGCTAATCCACCGATGAGTATCAGCCTCCGCAGTCCAATCACCTCCCAAAAGTCCCTCCCCTCTGTGAGCACATGAGGCTTTGGGGGGACATCTAGATAGAAACTGTGACAGTATGCAAGGGATGGAGTTGGTAGGAGTGAGGGACCTAGGGACAGTTGAGAAGGGAAATACAAGCCCACTCTGGCCAGTTCTAAAAGGTGATGTGTTCCCTCTCTGCTGTCCCCCTCGACCTGTGACTGTTGAGGTTTCTCTGGGAATTAAGACCATCTGTGACTGAGTCATGGCATTATTTAAGCATGGGGCAGATGACACAGGAGAGCAAGGCACAACCCGAGAAGCACTCCTGTCCATCAGGAGCCTGGGTCTGCCACCAGCTAACCCTTCTGCTGTGGGTCCAGGAATGCCCTTCATGTTGTTCTCGGAACCCAATGGGACTGGGGGCCACACACATCCTAGTTGTGGCTTTATGGTCCAAATTAAGCAGAAACACTCTGCCTTGAGCCCTAGCCAGAGGCAGTTACCCTTCTAGTTTTGTCTGAACCCTTCCAGTTTGTTCATTTGGAGTTGAATCATCTTTCTGGATGTTGTCCTTTCAGCCTCCAGTGCTAGGAGGTCTTGAGGAAGAGTGGAGCTGACTGGTTCTTGGGTGAAGACCTGTATCTCCCCAACATTTCACTGTCCCAGAAGTCCTGTCTTTCCCTGGAGACTGCCTGCCTCCGTGACCTAGATGATCACCATCCAGAGGAATCATCACATATATCCAGTGTGAGGTGTACAGAGGCCTTGAAAGCCTGTATCTAGCAGCTCAAGGTCAGGCAGGTCTGCCTTTTACTGCTATTATACCCCCTAACCATCTCCCTGCCTCTATTTGAGCCCCCTGGGTGTTTCCATGACCCACAGAGGGCCTAGTCAGACGCACAAGGAACCATGGTGAGGCTGTGAACATCCGTATCAGTGAAGGTGAACCTTCTAGAGCTTTCAGTGATAACAAACAGCTCACTGTGGCACGTGCCATAGGTTCACCCCCACTTGGTCTACACAACAGAGGTGACTCTCCCACATTTGCTATTTGGGGTGTAGTACAGGTCTAGCATGCAGCAGGTGCTTGGTGTTTGGGGGATAAATGAGGGAGGCCATGAGAGACAGGAAACATCTTTGAGTCCAGAGGAAGCCCTGCCCCAGAGACTGAGACTGAAAGGTTAGTTTTAGGCCTCGGGGGCAACTGAGGCCAGTCCCTGCTACAGCACTTCTTGGCTAGAAATAGGTTTACCGGGGCTCTCCCCCCACTCACTAAATGGGACCATGGTGGGTGGGGGTGGTAAAGCTCTCAGGTGTCTGTTTCTCAGTAACCAGGGGCTGGTCAGGGGAGCCAGGGTGCTAACCAGAGACTACAGGTGTCTCTTGAAGAGGGCTTGAACTGCCTCCTGCCTGAGGAAATCAGGCTCCAGTCACTTCCTGGAGTATCAAACCCCACCTCCTGAGTCCTGGCCACTCCACCTTCCCCACCCTAGTGCTACCTGTCAGACCTGAGCTGCAGTGTGTGTAGCTGGAGAGCTGGCGGCCCAGGAGAGCAGAAGGCTCTCTGCTGCGAACTGTACTGCCAGCCATGCTTGGGGGCCTCTGGGCAAGGTGGCTGGCAGGCAAAGGGCTGCCCCTCCTAGGGGCAGTGGCACTGAAGAGGAGAGAGAAGAGGGGATCTCAGCGGACGCACTGGCAGGTAAGGCACTGATGTTACCTGGGAGACATAGACTGGAGAGCCCTGGGAGCTCTGGTCCCCTGTGAGGATGGAGTCCATCCCGGCATGGAATATTGACTTGGAGTGGGACCTATTTGCTCCAGAGGACCTGTCAGAGATTAAGTTAGAGATGTTGGCCAGTGGCTTGGCTCTTGAAAAGAATGTTGCCCCCGCTCAAGTAAGACTTAGAGAAAAAGTTGTGTGACACTTGCCTTCCATTGGCTGTTTTTGCCAGGACTGTTCTAACCTGGCTGTAGAACCCACTGTGGGAAAAGGAATAGGAGCTTGCACAGGTGGTGAGGGGAGTCTTACTCCCAGGAGGCTGTGCTCTGCTGTTATCACTCCTGATAAACTACAGGCTCCTTAATGACTTGTCAGACCAGCATAATCTGGTGACTCACGACTTTGCTCGCCCTGCCCACTGCCTCCTGTATTCCTTCCAGCCTTGGGCAGGCAGCTGATTGGGTGCGGTGGGCCACCACTTTCTCTTTTCATGGTTAGTGTCTAAACACATTATGCCAGCTTGTAAACTTCTAAAGGACCACCCTAGTCTGAGGGGAGCTGAGGTTTGTGGTCATGATAACCATGATCAGTTTGGATAGCTCATGGTGGAGCTAAGACATGAGCCCAGAAGTGACAGATTCTTGGGTCCAGACTCATCAGCAATGCTGAGCCCCCAATGCCTGGGCTGTGCAAAGGCATCCCAGGCACAGACCTTCTGGCGAGGTGACATCAGTGACCTTGGGCTCGGCTGCTGCTCCATGATGGAACAAAGGGAATTCAGAGCTGGGAACCCTGGAGGAGGAGGCCAGGCCTCACCCCCAACTTCCTGGAACCAAGTCCCTGGTGTTCTGTTGTTTCATCAGGAAACCCACCCATACTATGACCTCCAGGTGAAGGTGCTGAGGGCCAGAAACATCCAAGGCACAGATCTATGTGAGTGACCCTGTTTTCATGTTCCCCCTCATTTTCCCAAAGGCCTCAAGTGCACACCCTGAGAATGGGAGGTGGGGGCAGACTGGCGCTGACCTCTGCAGGGGAGCGCAGTGCAGAGCCAGACCTGGGAGGCCCAAGCCGTACCTGTGCGAGGCCAGCTGTCACACAAACATGCCTACTCTCCTGGAGCTTCCAAGCTGTGCTCCTCTTGGGGAGAGGGTTTCATTGCCTTTGTTTCTGGGAATCACTGACACCATGTGACAACTGGCTATTGGCCACTGCAGGATTTCTGCTCAGTTGCGTGGAAGGTATAAGTGGTCAAGATAAGGCCAAAGACTCCCCTGCCCCACTGTGTGGCAGTGACACATGTCCTCACTGTGCTGTCCCTTCCCCTCTGGCCCGTCCTCCCCCAGGAAACCTCTTTAGCACTTAGGCTTGAGATTGATCCAACCCTATCCCCTGACCCCCACAGTTTCCAAAGCTGACTGCTATGTGCAGGTGTCACTGCCCACGGCATCCCCCAGCCCTGGCCGGACGAGGATGGTAGCTAACTGCAGTGACCCTGAGTGGAATGAGACCTTCTGCTACCAGATCCATGGTGCCGTGAAGGTGAGGGTCACCGAGCGACCTGGCCATGGCGGGAGGAGCCCCTCCACAGTGCCCACCTCCTGCCTCTCTGCTCCCAGAACGTACTAGAGCTCACCCTCTATGACAAGGACATCCTGAGCAGCGACCAGCTGTCTCTGCTCCTGTTTGACCTGAGGAGACTCAAGCCTGGCCAGCCCTACAGGCACACCTTCTCACTCACCCAGCAGGTGAGCCACCTGCACGGACAACAGCCAAGCTCTTGGGAGGCTAGCCCAGGGCCAGCAACAGGGCTGGGGCCATCAGCACAGGACGGGCTTCCACAACTGCCCCTTCCGTCCTGTAGCTCTGATCCTGTGACTCTTTCCCTAAATACTACTGCCCTGTGTGAAACTAAACTGGGCCCATGGAGCACACTGGGTTTTGTCTGCCCTGGTTCTGATGAGTCCTGTGCCTAGAACAGTGCCTGGCACATGTTTCTCTGCATGAAAGTGCCACTGTGCCATGTGCCCATATGAAGCCATAGCATCTCCTCTTCTAGTCCTTGGAGCCTAGCAAGGTCAGGGCGGGGACAAACCCTTGGGGATTCGGGAGCCTTTGAAAAGCTGGTGTTTTCTGCTCCGCCCACGTAGGACTCACAGGAGCTGGAGGTGGAGCTGGTTCTAGAGGAGAGGTGAGTCCACGAGGCCCAGTGGCTCCCATCTGTCGGTCACCATGTCCTGTGTTGACCCTGGAAGTCTGGCTTCAGGGGGCACAGTGTGGTCTGCTCAGTCATTTAAACCCTGCTCCCAACCCCACCATGCCCAGGCTTTTCCAGTGGTCTTGTCACATTATTGTGACCATGACAAAGGAGCCTGATGGCCCACAAGTACCTCCTCCTTTGCAGCCAGGTGCCGGCACCCAAGGTCATCACCAATGGAGTCCTGGTGGTGAGCAAGTGGGGAAGGTCTGGGGCTGGGGTAGCGGGGAGCCCCTGACCGAGTCTGTGGTGCCTCCCCACCTCTGAGGGACACAGCTCTGCTCAGAATGTGCTAGGGGGATGCAGAGCCGTAAGCTCCCCCAACCCTGGGTGCACAGCCTGGGCCCCAAGCTTCTGACCTGTTGCATGGCTCTTGTTTCCCTCCGTGCCCAGTCTGCCTTGAAAATGAAGGTGCCGCTACAGGGCCCCACACTCCCCTTCTCCCCAGGGCCTGGGAGGGAGCAAGCCCAGGAGTGGCTATTTTTGCTCCTCCCTCCTTCCCTCCATCCTGGTCCTGACCCTGAAGAGGGCCCAGTGGGCTGGCTGGCTTCCAAAGCTTCTGCTTTTCTCAGGCTCACCCCTGTCTGAGAGTCCACGGCACCCTTGAGGGAGATGGGACCGCACCACAGCGAGAGTATGGTGAGCTGCTCAGGCCTTGGTCTCGCCTTCCCTCCTGGGGCTGGGAGTGTGAGGGGCTTTTGGGAGCTGTGATGTCAAAGAGGTGGCATGAGGGAGAAAGTGCTTAACTCTGTCACTCTAAGAGCTGACCAAAGATAGAATGGGTTGCTTCTGGAAGTAGGGAACGCCCTGTCCTTGGAAGGATTCAAGTATAAAGACTGCACCTGTCCAGCTATTGCTCTAAAGCAAACACTTACAAACCCTGTGGCATACAGGAAGAAGCACTTATTTAGCCCACACTTCTGGCAGTCAGCTGGGGCTTGGCTGATTAAGACGGACTTGGCAGGGTGGCCTAGCTATGCATCCCACACACCAGATGGAGACTAGCAGGGGTGTGTTCTTAAGACCTTGGCAGAGGTGCAAGAGAGCAAACCCAATTGAGCAAGCACTTCTCAAGCCTTTGGTCACGTCTTGGCCACTCATATGTTATTGGACCCAGCAAGTCAGGTGGTTGAACTCCAAGCTGGAGGGCACAGAGTGGAGTCAGTGTCTTTAGTGGGAGAGCCGAGGTCACACGGCACAGCATGGGATGCTAAGTGAGGAAAGTGGGGCTATGGGTGCAGCCTGCCACCAAGGGTGACCACTCAGGAGGAGGGACCGGATGTGGGAGTGAAGCTGAGGCCACGGGAGGCCATGGTGCCTTCCTAGGCAGAGCCTAAGCCTGTGGGATAGGCACTGCCTGGATGACGTGCAGCACTGTGTCAGCACTCCGTGTCTGTTGGATCCTGTAACCCTCCCGAGCCCCTCAGTTGGTGCAATCCCTGTTTACTTCACATGACCAAGGTCCCCGGAAGAACCTAAGTGGGGAGCCAAGCCCAAGCCCAGGACTGATACACTGTGCAGCCCGCACTCTTCCCCAGCCTGTTGATTCCCTCCTGTGGACAGCGTGTCAGCACACGCCTGCCGTTCCCCACTACTCCACCCCAGGCTCCCATCCAGGCTCTGGTCTCATGTAATTTGAGGAGGGGCCGTAGGGAGTGGGACTCCATCCGGATCTTCCCCAGGGAGGCTGCTGCCCATGGGCTCTTTGGTTCACTGTTGCTCCCGTGCTGTGTTTGGAGTCTGAGACTGCTGTGAGGCTGTCGTGGTTCCCTCTGCCTGGATGCCATTTGCAGGCTTTTCTTTCTGGGTCCTGTCCTGCCCTCAAAAGCTCCTGGGAAACAGGGAAGGGTGTCCCCAGTTCCTCGCCAGCACACTAGCCTGGATCCTTGCTTCTTCCCAGGATGCATATTATCCTCTAGCGTGGGCTGCCTTCCCGTTCTTATCATGATGGAATTTCCTGGGCACCCACGGATCCCATTCTGCCTTTGACCTCCTCTGCCAACTCCCTATATTCTTTCAAGGTCTTCCTTGTTTAGAAAACACTTGTTTTCTTCCTAGCCATAAACCATCCTAGGAAATGAGCACAAAGCTTGAATGGGGACAAGAGATGGAGGAGACTGCCAGTTTAAAACTGTAATTAATATAATGAATAGATGATTAACTGCACATAATTCTGTATTATACATTGATATAATTTCAAAATCACCAGCCCCATAGGCTATGGGCCGGTTTCTACTCCTGTCCCCGCCTTCCTCCTTCCCTAGGTATTTGTGTATTTCCCACCCCCTCCCAGTGTGGGGGAGCATTTCTGACCCCAAGAACCTCCCCAATGTCTCCTGTGGTCTGAGTCCCAGAGTGAGCAGGGAGATGAAAGCTGTTGGTTTCTGTGGAAGAGAAGGCTGTGGCTGTTGCTGTCCTGGATGCTGCTGTCCTGAGCCCACACAGACTCTGTTTTGTCTCTTCCGGGCCTTCTGCCCTCAGGCTCCAGGCAGGTGGAGCTAGCAGTGCCTGGGGCCTATGAGAAGCCTCAGCTCTTGCCCCTGCAGTGGCCGGCGGAGCCAGGCCTCCCACCCACCTTCACCTTCCACGTGAACCCTGTGCTGAGCTCCCAGCTGGATGTAGAGCTGATGGAGAAGCTCAGGGTTCTACAGGTGAGCAGCCCAGGGGAGGGTGGTAAGGTGGAGCTGTCCAGCCCAGGGCCCGCTCCCCAGGCACCTTTTCTCCCACCCTGGGTTGCTCCTTCTTCTGTCTTCTCTTCAGAGCGGCCTGAGTACTGAGCTGGAGGCTGAGACCAGCAAGCTGGGAAAGAGCAGCTTCCTGCTGTCCTCTCTGCCCCTGGGCCAGGAGGAGCAGTGCATCTTGGACCTGGGAGAGGTAAGATTCTGTCTGGGTGCCAGGGGCCCTGCTTGACATGTGACCACCAAGAGAGGTAGGGGGGCAGGCAGGAGCAGGCTGCGGGGGCTCAGCCATAGGGCCAGAGAGGGAGCTGTAAGGGGTCATGGCAGGAGGCCATTTCCCTGGAAGGATCCAGCTGTGCATGCTCAGAGATGGCGTTGCTCTCTCTTTCAGGGCCAGGAGGTGGCTCTGTGTGTGAAGGCAGAAATGAGGTGAGGTGGGCTTCCAGTGGGAGGTCTCTGGGGGCTGGGCAGGAAGTGTGCTCTGGTCCACTCTCTTCCCCGGGGTCTCTGCTCAGGGGTCCACAGTGTGGGGGCTGCACCTGTGAAAACTGGGCTGGGCTGAGGTTCCTCTTTACCTTGGCCCCCACTCTGTCCCTCCGAGGCAGCTCTGGGGACCTGGACCTGCGCCTGGGCTTTGACCTCTGTGATGGTGAGCAGGAGTTCCTGGACAAGAGGAAGGCGGTGGTGGCCAAGGCCCTGCAGCAGGTGCTGGAGTTGAGCGAGACTCCTCCCAGTGACCAGGTATGGGATGGAGGTTGCTGGGACCAAGTCCAACCTGTCCCCCAAGGGGACATGTGTGGGGAGAGGTGACAGGAAGCCTGGAGGAAGCGTGGGAAGCAGAGGAGGAAGGGAGCAGAACTGTTTGAGAGACAGAGGTGCTGAGGAGTCAGGGCCCTGAATGAAGGAGGGCTCTGCCGCCCTGGCTGAGGGGCAGATGTCAGTGTGGGCCACCATGACAGAACATCACAGACCAGGTGGCATCAGCAGTAGACGTTTATTTTCTCCTCATTCTGGAGGCTGCAAGCCCAAGGTCATGGTGCTTGCAGAGTGGGTTTCTGACGAGGCCTCTCTTCCTCATCATATCACCTTTCACTGTCATCTCACCTGGCCTCTCCTCATGTCTGTGGTGCGCGGAGAGGGAAGGAAGTTCTCTGGTATCTCTTTCTCTTCTGAGTCCCTACCCTATCATAGCACTTGACATTATTACTTTCTTATGGGCCCCAGCCCCCAAAATGGCCACACTGGGGGTTGGGTCTTCAACAGTTTGGAGAGGACACAAAGTCCCTAACAGTTGCCGAAGGGATTTGCAAGTAGGTGGGATTTTTGGCTCATTGGATCCCTGGGCAAAAACAGACTGTGGCCAGGATGCAGGAGGAAGAGATGCAGACAGGTGCCTGAGGGAGGCCAGGAACAAGCAGTGCTAACCCTGGTGGCAGTGTACTCGAGACAGAGCACCCATAAGCTGCAAGCCTGGATTGCTCATCAGTCAGCATGCACACCCTCAGTGCTGAATCTGTACCCTGAAACAACAGGGCCCCAGGGAGCATTCTGTAAGACAGAAGAAAAGAAGAGGGCAGAGGACCCAAGAATCTGGGTGCAAGGAGGCAGCCCTTTGTGAGAAAGCTGATCACCTAAACACTTTCAAATCTAGTCCTGTTAGGCTCCTCTGACCCTAAGGAGGACCCCAACTTCTAGGCACCTCTCATGTCCGGGCTGCTAACTGCTCTGCGTTTTGCTCAGTGGTTCTCAGCTGGGGCAGTTCTGTCCCCCCACTTCTCTAGGGGATATTTGTCAGTGTCTAGAGAAATGTTTTATTCTGACAGCTGGGGTGGGGGAAGCAAAGGGATGCCATAGGCACCCATGGAGTAAAGGCCAAGAGTGTCACTAAATGTCCTGCCACACACGGGACAGTACCTCCCAAACGATCCAGCCCAAAATACCCATTCATCAAAGCAAAGCAAAGTGTTTTTGGTGAATCAAATGGGTGGCCTTGCAACAATGGTTGAGAGCCATCTCTGGAGCTCTACTGCTTGTGTTTGATAGCTCATCTCTCACTAACACTATGATCTTGAGTATTTAACCTTCCCATGCCTCAGTTTCCTCATCCGTAAAATAGTGGCCTCATCAGGTTGCTGTGACGTTTCGATCAGATAATATGTGTGAGGCTCTTATAACAGTGTCTGGAGGACATAGGCAATGATGTGCAAGTGTAGAGAAACTGTCATCATTGCTCTGCCCAGGTCCCTGTGGTGGCTGTGGTGGGCTCCGGGGGTGGAACTCGAGCCATGTCTTCCCTATACGGCAACCTGATGGGGCTGCAGGAGCTTGGCCTCCTGGATGTTGTGACCTACCTGAGCGGGGTCTCTGGATCCACCTGGTAAGTGGGGCAGGGTGCAGAGGGAATGCAAGCAAGTGGGGGTGATAGGTGACCTGGAGATCTGATGGAACCTTGGAAGTGGGGCTGGGTGCCTTCTTCCAAGGGGACTAGGAGTCAGTGTGTGGGGCAGCAGGTGCAAGTGTGAGGGAGAGGGAGCAGTCCCTCAGCCTCCTGCACCTCTCCCTCCCCTGGCTGTGCTCCCTGGCCCTCACCCAGGTGCATCTCCACACTCTACAAGGACCCAGCCTGGTCCCATGTGGCCTTGCAGTGTGCCATAGCGCGTGCCCGGGCTCAGGTCTGCAGCAGTAAGATGGGCGCAATATCCACGGAGCAGTGGCAATACTATACTCAGGAGCTGGGGGCCCGGGAGCGGGAGAGCAGCAGCCACAGCGTGTCCCTCGTTGACCTCTGGAGTCTCTTCATTGAGTATTTTCTGAACCAGGAGGTGAGAGATGAGCAGAAGTAAGACACTCTCTACCCTTTCCACAGCCCGTTTCCCATTTCTGCCTCATTCCTCCAGCTAAAGTAGACTTGCAAAGCTGTCCTGGAAGGCTGAGCTCCCCTGGTGGAAAGAGACACCAGGGTGGGCTGGCCCCACTTTACCTTTTGGGCTCTGAACCCTGGAGAAAAGGAGTGAGCCACAGTTCTCAGCTTTCTGCATGGTGGAACTCCTGCACAGCTTTTCATGTTTTTCTTCCCTTTTTATATTAGAATATGCTTGTGAGACATAATAAATACATTCATCATGGGGAATTGGTACATGTACATGCTGCGTCTCAATTCTCTTTCTTATTTCCCATCCCTTCCATCAAAAACAACCACGGCTGAGCTCTCCTTCCAGAGACTGGTTTTGGTTGGTCTCATTGGCCAGCGAAGCCCTGTTGCATGCCACCCAGTGCTGCTTCTAGAAATGCAGGCCCAGCCAGTGCTCTGCAGTAAGGCTCAGAGCTGCGGACCCACTTGGGTGGCTCTCAGTTGTGGGTCACCAGTGACCTCTCATTTCTAAGTAAAGAAGCGACACTTTCTTAGATAAATTAGACCAGCTTTTCAAGGACTCTTTCAATATGTCAGTCTAACTCCTGTGTGTTCTGATATGCTTTCTTTCTTTTTTTTTTCTTTCTTTTTTTTTTTTCACTTTTTCTTTGGAATTAACCACCTTTTTCTTTATTTGTTTATTTTTTCTCATTGAGTTTATTGGTGTATTTTAGGTATGCAGTACAGTTACATTCATCATTGGGATCTTGTACCTTTACTGATATGCTTTCTTGAATGGGAAAGTTGGGGGAGGGTGTCCCCAGAGCCCCTGGAACAGTAAAAACCCAGGGGCCTTTCTCTGCTGCAGTTTGTCCCTCAGACAGCTGTGCCTGCAGCTGTGGCCTTGACAGCTCAAGGTCTATCCTGTGGACTCATCACATCCTACAGGGTCCTGACCTAAGGCCACAGGAATATGGGAAGGGGACTCCCTGGAGTCCAAGCTGCCCCATTTCTCTCCTGCCCAGGAAAATCCTGCCAAGCTGTCTGACCAGCAGGATGCAGTGAGCCAGGGTCAAAACCCTTACCCTATCTATGCCAGCATCAACGTCCACACCAACATGAATGGGGAAGACTTTGCAGGTGCCTGGAGTGGAGAGGAGGAAGGATGTGGAAGGGAAGGTTGGCAGGAGGTGGATGAGGTCAGACCCTCAGGTCCAGGTGAAGGTGGCTGCAGGGGACCTTAGAGCACAGGGACTGCTGCCTCCTGTCCTTGGCAAGACAAGTTTCCTGCTGCAGCAGGAGGGCCCTGGTGGGAAGCCTCTCTTGATTTTGCTCTCACTTGGGCCTCCAGAGTGGTGCGAATTCACACCTTATGAGGTCGGCTTCCCCAAGTATGGAGCTTATGTTCCCACTGAGCTCTTGGGCTCTGAGTTCTTCATGGGGCGACTGCTGGAACTCCGGCCTGAGCCCCGCATCTGCTACCTGCAAGGTGAGTGTAGGCCCAGAGACTGGGACAGGAAGTGCCCTGGTCAGGTTCTGATGTGGGGGCTCTGTCTGTCTGTTCAGGTATGTGGGGCAGCGCCTTCGCAGCCAGCCTGGATGAGATCTTCCTGAAGATTGTTGGCTCAGGCCTGGGCTTCTTGGACTGGCACAGAGGTAGCATGAACATCACAGGTGAGGGCAGAGACCCCCAAACCACGCTCACTTGCTAGCATTGGGGTCCTGGCAGAGAGAGAAAGGATGTGAGAAGGGCTGGTGAAGGACTCAGCTGTCCTGAAGAAACTGTCTCTAGTTTAGAGTCTCCAAATGCCTGGCATGGTGGAGGCCCACTTCCAAGTTCTCCGTTGTGGATCGTTCAGCCAAGGCTCTGGATGTTCTCACCCCATTTTGGCAGCCCTTCAGCCCCGTTCTTGACAGGCCAGTGAGAGCCCAGCTGCACAAAGTGCCCTTTCCACCCTTCTTTCCTGGTAGCTTTTACTCTTCACTTAAGACTCAGCTCAGGGGCCAGGGATTTGGCTCAGTGGTTGCATTGCCTGTCTCACAAGTGCAAGGACCTGAGATCAGTCCCGGGTACCTCACTCCCCGCAAACAAAAAGATGCAGCTCAGATATCTGTCATTCCCACTCCCCCCGAAGGCTGATTGGGACTAACAGCGTGGTCCCTGAGGACTGCATGTCACCGCGTGCTGTTATGATCCATTACCTCTTTATATCACCACCTCCCTCTTCCAAGCAGTGTGTGAGCTCAGTGCCAGGTCAGGCCCACCCGCTGTGTATGCAACAGAAGGGAGGGAGAGCAATTCTTCAATAAATTGTGTCACAGGCCACTTCTAAAATATAACAGATGCTTTGAAAGGAATTCTATGCTGTGTGCATAGAAAAACATAACTATGTCATCATTAGCAAATCTAAGAATTTTAATGATTCCTTAATATAATTAAGTATCCTACTGTGGTTCATTAAGCTGTGATACATTTGCAAGCTCAGAACCCAACAAAATTCAAGTCTTTTGAGCCACTTCTGTTCGAAGGATGAAGCACTTTAGTTCCTTTTCTTTCCTTTTTTATCTTTCTCTTTCTTTTTTCCTTTTCCCTTTCCCTTGGCTTTCTGAGACAGGGTCTTGCTGTGTAGTCTAGGCCAGCCTCGAACTCACTGTGTTGCCTAGCTGGCCTGGAATATGCAATCCTCCTGCCTCAGCCTCCTGAGTGCTGGGATCATAGGTGCATAGCACCATGCCCACCTCCTACATCCTTAATATTAACCTGTAAGGCAGTGGTTGAGGTCTGGAGGAGGAGGAGGGGTGCAGGGAGAGCACTGTGGGGGGCTTCTCTGAGGGGTCCTCTGCTCACTGTATTTCATTCCCACCCCACCTAGACAAGTGCCCACAGTCCCAGCCCCACGACCCCTCCTGGCTGCACACCAGGCTCTTCATCCCTCAGGGGCCCATCTCACAGGCCGTGCTGGACATATTCACCTCCCGCCTTGCTGCCACCCAGAACTTTAACTTCATGCGGGGTCTCTGCCTGCACAAGGACTATGCAGCCCGCAGGGACTTTGTGGCCTGGAAAGGTGGGGACTGCCCCGGCTGTAGGTGTCCTCCTCCTACCTCTGGTGACCGGGCCAGCACTGCTGTGGGCATGCCTGTGGGGATGCTGCCTGGGTGGTGACGGGGAGATTCTGTCCCTGTGCTGCGGGTGGGGGGCTGCAGATAGAATGTGGGGAGAGGGGACGCTGGGAGGCCGCCACATGGTCCTTGTGCCTTGCAGACACACACCCAGACGCCCTCCCCAACCAGCTCACACCCATGTGGGACTGCCTGTGCCTGGTGGACGGAGGCTTTGCCATCAACTCTCCCTTCCCACTGACCCTGCTGCCCCAGCGGGCGGTGGACCTCATTCTGTCCTTCGACTACTCCCTGGAAGCCCCTTTTGAGGTACAGGGGGTAGGAAGTGGAAAATTCTGCCGAGGGGCCAGGCTCAATGTTTGGGGTCACCCTTCTGGCTGGCCTGGATTCTGCTTTGGGGCCAGTGCCTTCCGGTTGCTGTTGTCTATCCAGGTCTCCCAGCTGGAAGAGTTTCTGGGATGTTGGATGAGAGTAGGCACAGGAGCCCAGGCAGAGTCCTTTCACATCTTCCAGCCACTCTTCAGATCTACCCATTTGTGGTGGGATCCCTCAGTCCTATCTGGTCCTGCTGTCCTTTGTCACTATGGTAACAACAGGGCGATTGGGTCCCTTCAGGGAGACTTCAGCAGGCACTCCTTCCAACTCTGCTGGGCACTGACGGTGCCACTCCAGATGTGGATTCTGGTTGTGCTGCTGGACCAGTCAGTCTTCCATTCGCCTGGTCCTCCTGGGCCAGTGAGTGCCTGGGACTGGAGGTTGATGAAGGCTTATCCAGTGCTGACCTGGCAACCACTGTGTCAACCTCATGGGATTGCAGGGGGCCCCAAACAGGGAGAAGAGTGGGGTCAGAGGGAGGGCTGTGTCACAGGAGGAGTGGCAATGACAGGGGAGCACTCGGGCTCTGGTTACAGCTGATCTGTGTCCCACAGTTATCCCCGTTCGTGTCTGATGAGTGAGGAACGTGGCCATAGTCACTTGCCTATGCAGAGACACAGCCGGTGTGAAGCCAGGCCTGTGAGAGTCCAGGTGGAAGCAGGCAGGGCTAGCATCTCCCATCCCCACCCAGGTCTTGCAGATGACAGAGCAGTACTGCCTGGACCGAGGAATCCCCTTCCCCAAGATCAAGGTGGGCCCTGAGGACATGGCCAAGCCCCGTGAGTGCTATCTGTTTGCCGAGGCCAAGGACCCCCAGGCCCCCATCGTGCTGCACTTCCCACTTGTCAACCGCACCTTCCGCACACACCTGGCCCCAGGTGAGAGAAGCCAGGCTGGGAGTGCTGGGGTGCTCTCCGGGCATGGACCCCTGCACAGTATGTCAGCGCGTGCCTTCTGGGGGGCCAGAGCCGAATGCCACTTACTGTCCCCTACTTCCTGACCCTGATTGTACATGTGGGTCATCTCCTCCAGATGGGCCTGAGGGCTGAGATGTGGGAGGGGCCTAGGGCTGCAGCCCCTGGGAAGTTCCAGAGCACCCCAACCTGCCCCCCACCAGGTGTGGAGCGGCGAACAGCTACAGAGAAGGACTTCGGGGACTTTGTCATCAACGGGCCAGACACACCTTATGGCATGACGAACTTCACCTACACGCCCAAAGAGTTTGACCGGCTGGTGGCCCTGAACCACTACACCATTCTGAACAATGCAGAGACCATCAGGCACGCACTCCAGTTGGCTCTGCAGCGGCGGCAGACTGTCAAGGGCTGAGGCCTGAGCAGTTGGGAGCTGGGACTACAGGACAGAGGGGAGATGCAAGGCTCAAAGCCAATGCCTGCTGAGCAGGAAGTGGTGGGATCTTCTGCTGCCCACTCTCCAGCACCTGCCCTGAAGTCTTCCAGGCCCAGAAAGTCTTATAGACCTAGACCTGCAGCTTTGCTTTGGGTCAGGGCCGCCTTTGTGTTTCTTGGAGAAGATGGAATAGTGCATCCCTCTGGGGCTCTAGGGATGCAGGGCCAAAGAGGGCAGTGTCACCATGAGGCCCACACAGACCCTAAGGCACTTGATGCAGGTGCTGAGGTGCTGAGGTACAAGGTGCCTTCTCTTGGTGAGCACTGAAATGCAGCTGTCATGCTCTCTGTAGTGGCCTCAGAACTCTGCCCCCTGAGCTGGATTTACTGCGTCAAGAATAAAGAGAGCCATGTGGCTTGCCAGCCTGTGTCAGTGATTCCATGTCCAGCTCCTGACTCTCCTTCACCTTCTGGTCCCCTGGCCCTCTCCTGATGCCGGTGGTGTGACAACCTGTCTTGACCAGTCCCTGGCTGGACTTGCACAGTGCGCCACTCTCTACACTTGGGCCACATTCTATGGTCTCTTGTGCAGCCACCACCTCATGGAAATACAGTCCTGCTGCTCCCAGGAGCTAACAGGCCACATTGGAGGGAGGACATGTTTACCAGTGGCAGGGAAAGTGAGCACCTGTCCACTGATAACAGACTGGGTCCTGCCTCTTACAATTGAAGTGGATGACCTGTGCACAGCTATTTACCCTCTCTCCTGCTGTCCCACACTTCCTGGCCCATTTGGGGACCCTCCCAATACTTTGTGCCTCTCCAGTGTGGGAATATTTCAAGAAGAGAAGATCTGTCCTGGCCAAGCCCTCTCCAGCCTTGTCCTCCTCACCCTGTCCTGCCCTGGTGCTGAGGCCCTAGGACCCTGCAGCAGCTGGGCCACCTACTTGACTGGCCCTTGGCCATTCCACCCCTGCAGATACAAACATGCTCTCCAGGACCAGAGTAGAGTCATAATTCCTCTCCATTGGGGAAACTTCTCTGCCCTAATTTGAAGAGAAGACTCTTGCATTAGCTTTTTGTCACTGGGACAAAACACTTGATAGCCACAATTTAAAGGAGAAGAGGTTTAACTTTGGCTCATGGTTTTGGTCCATGGTCAGCTGGCTCCAAAGCAGAGCTATAGTGGAAATGTGTGATTCTGGAAATCTGGGAAGCTGGGGTAAGCACCCAGAGATGGACCAGACAGTCCCCAGGTCATGTCCCTATGGCCCACTTTCCCAGTTATGCCCACCTCCTACTAGGTTAACCCACTGATGAGGTTAGTACCCTCACAGTCACTTCTATAGGACTTGCATAATCCAATCCAGGCCAAAATTAACTGGCATAGGTTGGGTGTGGTCACATCCCTGTAGTCTCAGCACTCTTAGGAGGCTGACACAGGAGGATTGCAAGTTCAAGCCCAGTCTGGGCAATATAGTAGCTTGGCAAGACCTAGTCTCAAAATGAAAAATAAAAAGGGCCTGGGCATGTAGTTCAATGCCCTGGATTTAATTCCCAGTTTCTAAAAATGAAAAAAATAAAGAAATAATAAATAAGCAAGCACAGCCTTAGTTCTGGCTCCCAGTGGGAGGAGACTGGCCATGTCCCCTGCCTGGCCTGGCCTGGGACTCACAACCCTCTGGCTGACATGGCAGTGAGAGGCAGAGCCAGCACTTCGGGCTGGCATGGGGTGGGGTAGCCTGGCTCCCCCAAGCCTCCTCTGTGCTGCCTGTCTGCCTCTTGGCTCAGCAGAGGGTTACCTGGGAGCCCCCACTGTGCCCTTGTCACCACTGCTGTCCCTGCCACCATCAGTGGTTTTTTTATTGGAGTCTCCAGTTTTTAGGCCTTGGTGCTCTCGGAGTTGAACATTCCCCACTTAGAGCTTTGAGGCTGTCTCCGGTGCTCCACCCTGTGGCCTCAGGCTGTGCCGGGCTTCCTGAGAGTAGAGGATGGCAGCTTCTGTCTGTTTGGGCAGGGGCTGGAGGGAGGCATGTGGGTTGATTCTGAGATGGGCATAGGCTGATTTGTGGGGTTTGTGAGTCTTTCTTGTTCTTCATCCTATGACTCAGGTGGGCCTCGCTGGCTGCACACCCAGGGAACTGGCTCTGCTGAGCCCCTGTAGGGCCCACTCCTCACCTGCCGTGTGGTACCCACCCGAACCTAAGCTGGGCTTCCATAGTAGGCCTGGGCATCCTTTGCCTGTCCGTCATCTGGCTTTGGCTCTGGTTGGTGCCTGAAGCTTCCTCTGGCTTTTCCTGCTGCCCACTGGCAGGGCCTCTGTCTCCTCATCTTCCCTCTCCTCTCTGGCTCCCTAAACACTGCTGGGATTTTCTGGGGGTAACTCCAGGCCTCTAAGAGCCTAATAGAGCTGCACCTCCCCTCTCCATTTGTATACCATCATTTGGTTCCGAACTAATCATCTTTACAGGAGTCTCAATATCAGTCTGAGTCTTGAGATCACTTGTTTTCTGTTTGCTATGCTTCTTCTCTCCCACCCCTTTCCTGCTTTCTAGTTGTATTATTCTGTTTTTCATTGCTGTCAGGAAATAATGGAAGTAGGACACTTAATAGAGAAGAGGTTAATTTTGCTCATGATTCAGGAGGTACAGGGTCTTCCTGGCCACCCCAGCGGGTGATGGCCTTCTTGCTGGCAGAGTCCTGAGGGGGTGCAGAGGGTCACACAGTGAGACACAGGGACACGTGTGTAGGTACATGCCTTCCTGGTAAATAAAGCCACCGGCATTCTGCTCAGTGACCTTTTCTGGTTCCAGTCACAATGCTGGGGTCAGATTTAAGTTTCCATCGTCTTAATACTTCACACTGGGTATGAAGCTTTCCCTGAAGCTCTGGGGAGCCACAGTGCTAATATGGCTGTCCCTTCCCACCCTCGCCCTTCTGTGGCCTGAGGGTCTCTGGGACTTTGACGGTCCCCCTGTCGATCTACTCTTCACTATCCCTTTCCAGAATTCCTATTACATACATGAAGATAAGAACATCCAAATGGTTGCTCTACACTCCTTAACTTTCCTTTCACAGTTCTATCTTTTCACTGTGCTGTGTTCTGGAGGATTTTCTTAGCATGACTGAATTATTTTCCAGTTCATGGATAGGATCTTTACCCGTGCCTTCTACCTGTCTTCTGGAGTTTTCTGTTTAACTTTTTCTTTTTCCAGTACTGGGGATTGAACCCAGGGCCTTCACATCAAACTACATTCTCATCCTTTTATTTTCTATTTTTAAATTTTGAGACAGGGCCTTGCTAAGTTACTACATTGACCAGGCTGGGCTCAAACTTGTAATCTTCCTGCCTCAGCCTCCCTGAAAAAAAAAAATGTAACTAGTACTAGTTGTGGACAAGGGCCAGTGGCCTCAGCTCTGGTGGTTATTATTTTACACCTAATACTAATGCTGGGAGCCAGTCCTCATCATATTCCACTTTCTGGCAGGTACATTCAGAGCAACCTGGCTTAGGCTGGGCAAGTTGCTGTCGCACTGCCAGGGCAAGGGTGACTACTGTGTTGCCAGAGTGACCAGTCTTCTGGTCTCAGCCCTTCCCTAGGCTGAGACAAGGGCCATCGTGGGAGCCACCTGGAGGGAGCTGGCCCATATCTCCTCACAAAGAGCCGGGGATTTAGCTCAGTGGTTCTGCCTCCTGTGTCTCAAGCCCAAAGTCCCAAGTTCGATCCTCGGTACCCCCCAAAAAAGTGTTATCAAATCTCACAGATCTTCACCTCCCTGTGGTTGGAAGATGCAAGGCCACAGTCCAGTGTAATCATCACTGCCACCACCAGGGAGTAGCTGTCTGTCAAAAGCTGGGCATGGGCTAGAGCAGCAGTGGGACTGGGGCCTGGTAGGGCAGGCCGACTGGCAGAGAGCCTTGCCTCGGGCACAGCGTCACGCCATGGCTGCTGTGCACTGCACCCTCCGTGGGACACTGTGTGCCCCTCAGCTCTGCCGGTGGCCAGAGGATGCTGAAAGCCCTGGCGCTGTTCTCCTCCCGCTGCCTGCGGACTCCATGGCCATGTGGACAGGAGTGCTATCCTATGACAGGAGCCGGGCAGTACAGGCCCTGGAGCTCAGCCAGACACCCTCACCTCAGTCACAGGACTCCTGGTGTTAAGGGACCGGAAGAGAGGTGGTGGCAGGCTGCACATAAGCCCCAGCCCGGCCAAATCCACCCACTCACAGGAAGCGCCTCAGACACCCTGCAGGCTTTGCATACAAGCTTGCTCTGCAGGCTTAGGAGTCCTCCTGCATCACCCTGCTGAGCCACACCTTCTGAGCAAAGAGCTGCTGGGGGACCAGGCATGCTGATGCACACCTGTAATTCCAGCTCTGGAAAGCTGAGGCAGGAGGATTGCATTTTTTGAGCCCAGCTTGGTCAATTTAGCAACTTAATGAGATCTTATCTCAAATAAAGAGTAAATCAACAACAACAACAACAACAACAACAACAACAACAAAACTCCTGCTGTGGTAAGGACTTCTTAATGAGATCTTATCTCAAATAAAGAGTAAATCAACAACAACAACAACAACAACAACAACAAAACTCCTGCTGTGGTAAGGACACACTATCCTGGTGCTTTCTTCCTGTTCTGAAGCCTTGGCCAGATCTGTGACTAGACTAGTGCTCCCGATTGGAGCTCTCGGAAGGCATACTGTGGGGTCAGCATGGAAATCCCTGGAAATTGCCAGTGAGAGGTAGTTGGGGCCTAAGGTCAGAGCCTTCTCAGAGTCAAGATGGTCAGACACTTGCCAACACAGCCTGTGTCAGCCTGCAGTCCTAATGTTTCCAGATGCCCAGAAGACTTTGTCCATCTGCAGGTAGAAGTGCCCTGCTAGAGGCTGGAGGATCCCAAGGCCATAGGAAGGGTGGATGAACAAGGAAGCAGCTGGGCGGCTGGCTGGACACCCCAGAATGTTCTGGAACCTGGGTGCAGGGAAGAGGCTGCTTCCCTGTGGTGCAGCGATCCTGACTCTATCTGTAGCCCATGGCCTCCTCTGACCTCTCCTCCCCAAATCAACTCACTACCACTAGGTTCTAGATGACAAGCCAGGCAGGCTGGCCACCCACAGTCACACTGGAGCTCCTGTCCCTCCCTGTGTCAGTCCCCGGTGAGAGGCCAGCAAGGAGCTGCAGTTGCAGCCACCGAAGAGGAGGCTGTCCTGGGAAACTAAGCGAGGTCAGGCAGAGCTGGGAGGGACTGCAAGTCCAGCATTTTAAGGTGTATGGTAATGTCCCTCTTTCCTTCCTGCTACTCATGTGTGGCTTCTCTCTTCTTGGTTGGGCTAGCAGAGATGAATATTCTCAAAGAGCTCATGTTTGCTCAAAGGAGAAAATATCACCAGGGCAGGGACAG